TGCTGAACAAGAACAGATTAAAGAAACAGACACTAGGAAGATTAATATGGAAGTGATAAAATTGTGTAAATCATATAGGTACATTGTCGTGGCTGGGCTGGGTGGTACACCCTTTTAATCCAAGCATTTAAAAGGATGAGACAGGTGGAGTTCTGTGAACTTTAGGGCAGCTTGGTTCTAGGCCAGCCAGGACTACCATAGTAAGATCAGACTCAAAAACAAAAGAAAAAGTGGTTGGGAATAGAGAGTCCCTCATCCGTGACCCCATCATGCTTATCCTAAGTATTCTCAAGACTCCCCTTCCTGGGTCAGCCTGGACCCCTGGCACTGTACCAAGTATAAAGGAGAAGAGCAAGCAGCCAAGGGTATTAAAACAGTGCACTCTTGAGAACAGCTAGAGGGCAAAGATTTTCCAGAAGATGTAACTGTTGTTCAACATGATCTAAAAATGCCAGCAATAAGAACCAGAGACCAGAAAGCTTGTCTGTGTAGAGAACCCTCAGCCTGGAAATCTCTCAACCATGAAAACTCCAGTACACTATTCCAGGAGGGCTTCCCTCGTCATCATTGTAACACCCGATTTCTGTGTTACACCCTCGGTACAGTTCGCACGCCACTGTACCATATGCGAATCGGGCAAGGGCCTGGAGATTGAAAGAACACACAAAGAGACCTGGGTCATTCGTAAGGAGATCAGCTGAATGCCGTTTATTCAAACTTGGGGAAATCCTTAAGTACCTAACTGCTGCACAAGGATTTCCGCCCAGGCAGATGGAGTCAATGCCCTACAGCTAATCACCAGGCAGGGCAGGGGGAGCACAGGAACAAACAGAATGCTTTAGTTAGCTGACCAGAAATTGTCCTCAAGATGCACCCCAGGAACAAGGGTAGACCCGGGCCCTACACATCACAATAGATATCACAAATGCCTGATCTGATTCTGTTACTTTTGTTTGCTCTCCTGATCAGGATACTCCAATTTGAAGATGTTTTACTATCTGCTATTTGCTATTGCCTTTTTTTTTTTCAGGCAGGGTTTCTCTGTGTTGCCCCAGCTGTCCTACAACTTGCTCTGTAGTAGACCAGGTTGGCCTCAAACTCAGAGATCCACCTGCCTATGCTTCCCAAGTGCTGAGATTAAAGGTTTGTGCCACCACTGCTTGGTTGCTATTTGTTCTTCTGCTTACTAGATGCTCAATCAACTCAGTCACTCAAAATCAAAAGTATAGCTATTGTAGATCATTCCCTGTAGAGAATGGCTGGATGAAGACAGAGTTAAGACATTTGGAGGGAAATCAAGGTTTAAGCAGGTGGCTAGGGAGAAGACTATATAATAAAGGAGAATTGTATAAGGATACAGAGCACTCGGGGGCTGGAGAGGTGGCTCAGCGGTTGAGAGCACTGACTGCTCTTCCAGAGGACCTGGGTTCAGTTCCCAGCAACCACATGGCAGCTCACAACTGTCTGAGGATGCAGTTCCACAAGATCTGACACCTTCACATCAATGTGCATAAAATGAAGTTAAATAAATCGTTTAAAAAAAAGATACAGAGCACTCAGCATTTCTAAAGACATTCAACTGTAAACCAATGACAGGGAGGAAAACCAGGGGAAAATGGTTTGAACAAATGCCGCTAAGATGTAGAGTTTACTTATTGGTTATTTAGGTATCATAAATGTTGTTTTTTAAACTAAATCTCAACCTTATTATTTTTACCATTAAAGACTTGGAAGTCAAGACACTGAGGTGAAAACCTACTAGTTCAGAAAGACACAGGAGCAAACAGCTGACCTTCCTACTTTACTGGCATCTCAGAGAGCTTCCCTTTCACCATCCCAAACCAAAAAGGCCACCAGACTTGAAGTCCCTCTGTATTATTTCCTGTGTGTTTCTCTACCCTTATTTCTGACTTCCTCCCACTCTTTTTTTTTTCTGTCAAGTGGTTCCTGGCTCCACCTCTGAACCTAAGGTTGACTTTTATACTGATATTTTATTAATGTTTTAATAAATAAAGCTTGCTTGAATATCAGAGGGGCAAAGCTAAACCACTAGAGGTTAGGCAGTGGTGGCACACACCTTTAATCCCAGGATTTGGGAGACAGAGGCATGTGGGTCTCTGTGAGTTCAAGGACACCCTGGGCTATACAAGATCACTGCAGAAACAAACCCAGGTGGTGATGACTCACATCTTTAATTCCAGTTCTAGGAAGTCAAATACCTTTAATCCTAGCATTAGAGGGAATATAAAATGGGAGGAGAGGCCCAGGCTGCTTAGTCTTCTTAGTCTGTTTAATCTACAGTAGCCCAGTCTTGATAGAGGTAAGACTTCTCTAGTGGCTTGATTACTTTGCTTCTCTGATTTTTGGGTTGAGCCCCAATATCTGACCCTGTGTTTTTATTATTCTTGCTAGATTTTATTAAACACAATCTGGGGTTTTACAGTGTGATCAAATATCCCACAACATTCCCCCTCACCTTTTTGTCTAAATAAAAGGAAAGGTTTGAACTCTAACATAGTAAAACTATATACAATAAGAACAATTATCAAACAAGAATTACATTCACAATGTCTAGTCCATTTATATTTGACAACTTTGGATAAAGAATTCTATTATTTATCCCATCTTGGTGAGTCCAAAGTTCTATACCTAAATCACTTTCTATCATAACATGTCTTACCATCCAAAAATATCATTTTAGACCTTAAAACATTTTCTTAGACAACTTAAGCTTTTATGTTTTTCAACCTTTATAAACTTTACATCTCTTTTGTGAGTTCTGCTTTTTAATTTGGTAACAAAGAAAAGTACAAAACTATGACTATCTAGTCTTCAGTCTCATCAAAGACTCAAGAAAGACATAGTTCCTGATAAAATAGGAAGTGCAGGCTGGGCGGTGGTGGCGCACGCCTTTAATCCCAGCACTTGGGAGGCAGAGGCAGGCGGATCTCTGTGAGTTCGAGGCCAGCCTGGTCTACAAGAGCTAGTGCCAGGACAGGCTCCAAAGCTACAGAGAAACCCTGTCTCGAAAAAAAAAAAATAGGAAATGCAGAGCAAACTACTTCCAAAACTATGGAAATGATAGATACACCTGACTACCTAGACAGTCAACAAAGGTTCCTCTACAATGTTGGAATATCCCAATTTGTCCTTTAAGCCCAGAATATCTTAGACTTTTTTGTGAAGTAGGAGTTTTGAAGGACTGGCCTACCCTGCCTTGACAAAGTTCACAAGTCAATTTCCCTTGTATCCTGTTTGTTCAATTTTTACAGCATACTGTCAAAAGTTGAGGCAATGGCAGTTTCTTGCCCAATGGCTAATTGTCCTTATTGTATATAGATGGTAATAGATGTTATAGATGGTTGGGAGCCACCCTGTGATTGCTGGGAATTCTGGAAGAGCAGTCAGTGCTCTTAACCACTGAGCCATCTCTTCATGTTTTTAATGTCTTCAAATTTCTTTAAGTTGTTCGGGATGTCATAGTTCTAAGGCAAACAGATAACAAACCTGCCCTAATTTCATTCTGTTGCTGTGATAAAATAGACCAACAAAATGCAACTTAAAATATAAGGGTTTATTTCCATTTCAAATGCCAGGTTACAGTCCATCATTGTGGAAAAATCAAGGAAGGGACCTCAAACATTGACTTACATAACATCCATAGTCAAGAGCAGAGAAATGAACACACACCTTCTCCCCTATGTTCAGCTTGATTTCTCCACTGTTACACAGCTTAGGACCTCTTCTCTAGGGACTGGTGCTACCCAGTGCCTTGGGTCTGGAGTCCCCTTTAGGCATGCCCATTGTTGTGCTTTTCTGTCCCTTTAAGGGACAAGCCACGCCCACTCCCATTACCTCTGACCTGCCCTCCGCCATCTTGGGCCCTTCCTTTTCTGCTTCCTTGATGTGCGTGCTTTTTATTATAAGGAAGACCTGGGAATGTTATGGTTTTGGTCCCTTTAAGAAACAAGCCACACCCATTCCCCTCCCCATCCGCTGAGGCAGGCTGATCTTCAGCTTCCGGCCTGAGCTCTCTTTTCCATCTTCCTCTCTGAGAGGCAGCTTTGCTTCTGCCTCACTCCCCACTTCTCTCTCCCCCCCCTGTCTCTTTCTCCTCTTCTCTCTCTCTCTCCCCACCTCTCTCTCTGTCCCCCCCTTCACCCTTCCTCCTCCATAACCCCCTGAATAAACATTCAACCTCACCCTGCATGTCGTGTCTATCCATGTTTCTGTCTTCTGCCCGACCGCCATGTGTCTCCCTGCCTGGATCCAGCCATTGCTCAGGGACCAGCAGCCTACTCTGCCTGGGGCCCACTGCCTGCTGCCACATGGCCTGCCACCACTGCTCTGGGACCAGCAGCTATCTCTGCCTGGGACTGGCTGCTCCCAGGGCCCGCTGTCTGCCGCCACATGGCCGGCCACCACTGCTCGGGCCACCGCTCTGGGACCAGCAGCTGTCTCTGCCTGAGACTGGCTGCTCCCAGAGCCCGCTGCCTGCCACCACATGGCCCGCTGCCACCATTTGGGACCTATAGCATTTCTGCTGCCTACTGCCGCAGGGATCTTGGAGCATTTTTTAAAAAAGAACAACACCCATCCACAGGCAAACCAAATGTAGACAATCCTTCATTGAGCCTTTCTTCTCAGGTGACTCTACAATGTGTCAATCTGACATTAAACCTAACCACCATACAGCCCATAGATAAAGGTAAAACCAAGAACTGAAGCTTAATGTGTAGGGAAAATGAGGCGTCAAAGTCACCATAGCATCTGAGCTGCTCAGGGACTGCCTCTAAGGCCAGTCCTTCAAAATTCCTGCTTTTCAAATTTCCTGTGCTAGGAAGCAAAACCAGAGCCTTGGACATATTAGGTATGTGTTCTACCATTTATCTATAGCAGAGAGTAATATAAAACCAGAACCTTGGACACATTAGGTATGTGTTCTACCACTGATCTACTGCAGATAGTAATTTTTTTAAAAAAACAATTTTATCTGATCAAACTGAGAACTTTATATTTTATTCAGTTTTGAATAAAACCACAGCCACTGTCTTTTCCAGTGTGTCAAAAGGTATCAACTTCAGAAGAAAGTACCAGCCCCATTTGTGCCAGACGAGGATAATTTCTCTTCTGTTGAAAGGGTGTTAACTTCTTGAAATTCAGTTTTCATTTGTCTCATAATTTCCAAATAAATAGATAAGCAGCTCCAGTTCATGGCTTGTAGACTGTTTGCCTAGGCCCGAATGTCCTCCAAGCTTTCATTGTAGATCCATTTAAAGATAGTGTCCTCAGAACGCTCTATAGTTTCAAACAGTCTTTTGAAGTCTTGAGGATACATTTGAAGAATTGTCGCTCCAGGGTTTAGTCTCACCTGCCTCAGTACATCAATTGGCTCAACTGTGCTCAATGAACTGAAACAAACAAACAAGTAAACAAACAAACAAGTAAACATGATTAATCCCTTTTCACAACAGTTAAGTCTAAGAGAGTTGCCTCCTAAATTCAATTAAGATGACTAGCCTATATAATTAAATTTACTTTACACACACACACACACACACACACACACACACACAACACACATATAATATATGTAAATCCTCTGTGCTGGGGTGACTCTGAACTCCTAATAGGTCAACCAGTTTATAATGTAGACCTCTGTGTGTTCCTTTGGGACTGAATGGCTATGGGACAGGGCAGGACAGAAACCTCTGTTAACAAATGGCGCCAATGTGGACAACTAAATCCACTTAAAACCTGAGAGAATTTGAGAAGGAATTCTAGACACAAAAAGAACACAGTTAAGCACAGCTTCTTGGTAGCATTTTCTCAGGTGGGTTGTTTACTAGAGGCACGCATGTCTCATTTAAGAGAAGCTTCCTGACTCAGCTTTAGCTACAAAAACCTTGCAGCCCCTTTAAGAAGCTCTGCTACAAAACACTTCAATGGTGTTGATGAATAACCAACAGCATGCTTCCCGGTGGTAGAAGGGAAGCGCCATAGAGTTATGGCAATAAACATGGCTCCGGCCAGTACCTCTGCCATGAGGCTAGACTCTCAGAAAGCTAAGGAATGGGGTGGATCTAGCCCATCAAAGCCATGGCTTTAGTCCCAGCTAATTTAATTTGCTAATTCACTTAGCAAATTAAAGACTCATGTGGTCAGAAAAAGAGAGATATACAGTAAAGATAGATTCAGACAAAAGAAACCTCTAAATGGTTTACAGTGTGTTTAAAAATATATGTAGGCTTGGGAAAGAAAAAAGGATAAGGTCCTTAAAAAAAAAAAAGAGAGTAGTTGGGTGTGGTAGCACACACCTTTAATCCCAACATTTAAGAGGCAGAGGCAGGCTGGTCTCTATGAGTTCAAGGACAACGTGGTCTACAGAGTGAGTGCCAGGATAGCCAAAGATACACAGAGAAACCTAGTCTGAAAAAAAAAAGTTTAAAATAAGCCACATAAAGATGGAAACTACACAGAGAGTCTGGATAATGTATGTTAATTGTGTTGTCTTTGAATGGTTTGATGGCTGAGGAAGGAAAAACAGCTGCTAAAAGACATTTGATTACAAATGCTGTTGGATTAATAGAACATATATATTTTGGAAATGCTTTGACTTCAAACTTTAAGTCAAAGATATGCTATTTTGGAGAAGAGGTTTTTTTGTTTTTACAGGAAATGAGAGGCTGTGAATTCATTCTTGGCTAAGAAAAATCAGGTCCCCTGAGAAATCTCCAATAGGAGTGGATGGTCCAAATGTCTGAGTTCTACATCCAGAACAGACTCAAAATGCTGAGATGATCAAGCCTCACAAGATACTCCAGTCAGGACTTGATCATAATTCCAAATTTTCATTTAGATCCCCATAAGATTATCAGCACCCTCAATAAGCAGGAAGTAGCCTAAAAAAAAAAACACACACACTCCAAAAAATGGACTATGGATATTTTTCTTTGTTTAGAGTGTTGGTTACAAGTTGTTATGGATAATGGTCAGGAAGAAAGCTAAATATGGGAGATTAGACTCAGAATTGTTTTGAAAAAAAAAGGGGGGTGCTGTAGAACAATGATCTTGTACTTTATAAATTTGTCACTTGTAGCCGGGCGGTGGTGGCGCACGCCTTTAATCCCAGCACTCGGGAGGCAGAGGCAGGCGGATCTCTGTGAGTTCGAGACCAGCCTGGTCTACAAGAGCTAGTTCCAGGACAGGCTCCAAAACCACAGAGAAACCCTGTCTCGAAAAACCAAAAAAAAAAAAAAAAAAAATAAATTTGTCACTTGTATTTTAATAAAATGCTGATTGTCCAGTAGCCAGGTAGGAAATATAGGTGGGGCAACCAGGCAGGAAGTATAGGCAGAGCAATGAGAACAGGAGAATTCTGGGAAGAGGAAAGCTCAGCCTGCAGCCATCATCCAGATGCATAGGAAGCAAGATGAGAAAGCTTCACTGATAAAGGTACCAAGTCAGGTAGTTGACACAGACAAGAATTATGGGCTAATATATGTTGTAAGAGTTAATAAGAAGCCTGAGCTAATTAATGTAGACTTCTGTGTGTTTCTTTGGGACTTAACAGCTGGGGGATCTGGGTGGGACAGTAACCTCTCAACTCTCAAGTTTTGGGATTACAGGTATGTACTACCATACTTGGCTTGGATGAGAAATATTTTATATAAAATGTTAAGCCAAAATCTTAGCACTCAGGAGACTGGATAGTTGTTCCTAAAATTTCAGAGCTAGACACCAATTTAAGTTTAATGTAGTGTAATCAAACCTCACAAAAATTCTAGTTTACATATTATCTTTTTATTTTTTTGATAGGATCTCACCACATAGCCCTGGCTGGCATGGAAACTCACTGTGTAGATCAGACTAACCTCAAATTCACAGAGATCCACCTGCCTCTACTTCCCAAGTGCTGGGATTAAAAGTGTGCAATAACCTATGTGTGAGGCTTTTTAAAGATGATTTCACTCTATATCTCAGTCTGATCTGCAATTTACAATACAGGCCTTGAACTCATGTGACTGATTCTCCTGCCCCTGTGAGTTGAGATTACGGGCTTACTGTTTATGTGTAAATAGTGTGTTGTATACATCTATATACCTATAATCCCAGTGCTTGGGAAGCAGAGGCTGGAGGGTCAGAAGTTCAGTCATCTCTGACTGTACAGAAAGTTAGGCTAGCCTGGGCTATATAAAACTGAATCTCTAAATAACTAAACAAATAAATTAACTAAAAATAAACATTTCTAGTTAACAGTCTCATTAAGGCTATATGGTAAATGACTATTAATTAAAATAACTATTTTAACACTTTTTCCATCTTCTGACAACACTTTAGGAACTGCTAGTTACAAGGTGAATGGATAACACATCACACTGACTGGAGAGATGGCTCTGTGGTTAAGAGTGTGTGATGCTCTTCTTGGGGACCTGAGCTCAGTTCTCAGCACCTATGTCAGACAGCTCTTGTGACTCCAGCTCCAGGGATACAAATGCTGTTCTGGTCTCCAAAGGACACAGGAATAGCACAAATGTGCACAGACATAAAAACAAAATAAACATGCAATGAACAATGATGTGGGATACCTCTCTGTACGTTGTAGATATGTCTTATTACCATTGGTTAATAAAGAAGCTGCTTCAGCCTATGGCAGGGCAGAATATAGCTAGGCGGAAAGTCCAAGCAGAGAGACAGGGTGAAAGAAGGCAGAGTCGGGGAGATGCCAACAGTCACCATAGGAATAACATGCCAGACCATTACTAGTAAACTATGGGGCATGTGGCAATATACAGATGATTAGAAATGGGCTAATTTATATGTAGAGCTAGTCAGTAAGAAGCCTGAATCATCTGCCAAACAAGCGGTCAGAGGGAGGTGTAGAAAACATAATGCAAGGGGCTGGAGAGATGGCTCAGTGGTTAAGAGCATTGCCTGTTCTTCCAAAGGTCCTGAGTTCAATTCCCAGCAACAACATGGTGGCTCACAACCATCTGTAGTGAGGTCTGGTGCCCTCTTCTGACCTGCAGACATACACACAGATAGACTATTGTATACATAATAAATAAATAAATAAATATTTAAAAAAGAAAACATAATGCACAACAGGGAAACAGCTATCTTTACTCACTGCTTTTTAAATCTTATTTTATGGGTAGGTGTGTGCGTGTCGTGTGTGTGGCACCCACAGAGGCAAAGCAGGGGGTGTTGGAGCCCCTGGAACTGGAATTACAGTCATTTGTGAACTGCTTCTCAATCATCTCTCCAGTCTAGAAGGAAGTATTTTTAACAGGCAAATGAACATGGGCACATCTTACTCTAAATCAAGATGTGAAAAACCACCTTATAACACAGGAGAAAGTCACATTAAATCACTACCTTTACAGTTTGTCTTCATTGAATTTCTACTTACCTTAAATGTTGTATTATTGGGGCACTGCGCTTCCCAAAGCAGTGCTTTACCATGTGGAAAAATATATCATAATTCAATGGACTTAAGTGTTCTGTAAATAAACCTTTACGAGGAGTCATTTGAATAAAATATAGATTTTGTTTCATTGATTTTAATGATTCCTAGACAGAAAAGAAATAATTTCGTTAGTCATAAACTATTGCAGGGTAAGCACTGACCTTTACTCCTCCAAGCCACTTGCACATCCCCAGTGTCTCTGTGTTTTCTTACTGAAGGCCTGACACTTTATAACCCGGGTCATGTCAGAGTTCTGAGCAGAAAGTAACCTAGAAGGACGAGCTTTTTATTCTGTATATGACTTGTTTACATTTGCCACCAGAGGTGATGTGAGGGTCCTACTCCAATGCTTAGCCATGGGGCAAACCTAATGTGTGTCTAGCAAACCACTCACCACCTCCTGGGCTGCAAGCTCAGACTGAGTCCTTTATCTAAAACAGACAGCTAAAGTGTATTGCTGTGGAATAATCCTCTCATACACTGTAAAGATTTGTCACTCAAATTGGTTTAATAAAGTGCTGAGTGGCCGTAGCCAGGCAGGAAGTATAGGCAGGGTGACCAAAGTAAGGAAGAAGGGAAAGAGAAGGGCAGAGAGACACTGGCCAGAAGCCGAGAAAGATGGGCATGCTGTGATGAGAAAAGGTACTGTCACATGACAGAGCATAAAGAGTAATAAAACTTAAAGTGTAAGAGCTAGTTAATAATAAGCCTAAGCTATTGGTTGAGCATTTATAAGTATATTAAGTCTCTGTGTGATAATTTGGAAGCAGCGGCTGGATATTTGGGACCAAGTGGTTCCAAGACAGGAAACTTCAGCCTACAGTATACTGAGTTGTAGTTATAGTAAATTCAGAGCCCAGACACAACATCAACATGAATCAAGTTGCTGCTATGTTCAAGGAAAACCACTAGCAGATACAAAAATACAAATGTATTATTGACTAGCCTTTTCCTTATCTTTTTCTAAACATACACTTATTTACTGTGTGTGCAAACATAAGCATGCATAACTTTATTACTGAAAAACTTAATACAGAAAAGATAATCCTTTTTTGTGGGGTAGACGTTTCTCTAGCCTCTGAAGACAATCTTAAAGAAAATAAATGTGATACATGGGAATAGCATCATTTGTTCTTACCTTAAGCTTTGTCTTCTCTAAGTGCCCATTTTCAGTATATACACTAAACGACGACCAAGGTTCCTGGAGGAAGAAAAACAGACAAGATATTTCTTTCTTTCCGTAGATCTATGTGGTATGTGTGCACAGGGGCATGTGTGTGGAGGGTGGAAGCTGTTTTCAGGTCTTTTCCTCTATTGTTCTCTCCACATTAGTTTTGAGTAAGGGTCTCTCACAGAACCTGGATCTTTGGATTCTGTAGGTCTAGCTGGCTAGCAAGCCCCAAGGATCCTCCTGTCTCTGCCTCCCCAAGCCGTTGGGCTCTTTTTTCACATGGGTACTGGGAATTGAACTCAGGTTCTCATGCTTGTACTGTAAGCACTTTACCAACTGAGCCATCTCTTCTACCCCAGGGCATCCTTTCGCTTACACAGATCTCACTTTACCAACTGAGCCATCTCTTCTACCCCAGGGCATCCTTTCGCTTACACAGATCTCACTTTACCAACTGAGCCATCTCTTCTACCCCAGGGCATCCTTTCGCTTACACAGATCTCACTTTACCAACTGAGCCATCTCTTCTACCCCAGGGCATCCTTTCGCTTACACAGATCTCACTTTACCAACTGAGCCATCTCTTCTACCCCAGGGCATCCTTTCGCTTACACAGATCTAACTTTACCAACTGAGCCATCTCTTCTACCCCAGGGCATCCTTTCGCTTACACAGATCTCACTTTACCAACTGAGCCATCTCTTCTACCCCAGGGCATCCTTTCGCTTACACAGATCTCACTTTACCAACTGAGCCATCTCTTCTACCCCAGGGCATCCTTTCGCTTACACAGATCTCACTTTACCAACTGAGCCATCTCTTCTACCCCAGGGCATTCTTTCGCTTACATAGATCTCAAATGAGGCCGAAGGCTCCTCAATTCTGTTAGTTCTCTTTAGTCAAACACCACAAGTTATTACTACGCCCCCCCCCAAAAAAAACCCAAACGAACAAAAAAACTGGAAAAAAAAACCCCACATACCTATGCAAATCTGGGTATGGTAGTGTACAATATAATCCTAGTATTTAGGAGGTAGAGGTAGCTTGGGCTATGAGATCCAGTCAACCCCACCCTGTTAACAAAACCAGATAAAAAACCAAACCATATCTAGGGGCTAGGGCTGTAACTCTGTATTTGAGCTCTTGTCTCTATGTTCAAATCCAAAACCCCCACACAAATAAAAAAATAAATCAGTTCAAATCCTATCTGGTATTGCTAACTAAGTATTAACAACGACTATTTGAACTACAATATCCAAACAGCATATTTTGTGTAACAGGTAAGAGATTGGGTAAAGCTACATATGATGGTATACATCTATAATCCTAGCACTTAAGATACTGAGACAGGAGGATGGAAAGTCTGAGGTGAGCCTGGGTTATATAATGAAACCCTATCTCATAAAACAAGGCAATGTGATATTCACTATATTAAAGAAAAAAAAAAGAAAAGCATAAAAAAACAGAAGACCCAAATATGTCCTGTATGTCCTATAGAACTACAGTATTGATTCCCAAAATTTCCTTTTCGTAGAGCATGTCTCAAACAAGTTTCATTCTCTTGTGTTTGTTTGTTTGTTTTCTTGGGGCAAGGCTGTGTAGTCCTGGCTATCCTGGGATTAGCCCTGTAGATCAGGCCGACCTCTGCCTCCCCAATGCTGAAATTAAAGGTGTGCATTATCACCACCCAGTAAGTTTCCTACTTTTATCATGAGCTAGTCATATTACTTGTTTTTTTTTTTTCCTTTTTTTTCCTGAGATAGGGTTTCTGTGAGTCATCCTAGTTGTACTGGAACTAGCTCTGTAGACCAGGCGGGCCCCGAACTCACAGAGATCCACCTGCCCCTGCCTCCCGAGTGCTGGGATTAAAGGCGTGCAGTACCACCACCTTATTGTCTATTACCTTTATGATTAGAGAAAAAAGGTGCCAAAGAAGTATCAACATTACTTTCCTTTCAATAACTGGTGATAGTGTATGATTTTAATCCCAGAATTCAGGATGCAGAGGCAGGAGGATCTCTGTGAACTCACACCAGGTAGATTTAGTTTTGTTTTATCTCAAAATAAAACTAAACTAAATACGTTGAAAAATAATAAAATTAAGTCTTTTAATAAATTAGCCTCTGAGTTATAAAGTTGTCCCAGCATCGGAGAATTTACTCACCATGAGAATAAACTTAATATCACAAGCCACTTGCCAAAGCACACTCAATACCTGGTATAAATCTGGCCTTTTAGGAGTTGCTATCAGTTTCTAATGAAGAAAAAAAAAAAGACAAAATTATGTTACATAGACTCATAATCAATATCAAATGTCAGATCTTAACTTTAACATTTTTTAAAAAAATATTTGTTTATTTATTATGTATACAACATTCTGTCTGTGTGTATGCCTGCAGGCCAGAAGAGAGCACCAGTCCTCATTACAGATGGTTGTGAGCCACCATGTGGTTGCTGGGAATTGAACTCAGGACCTTTGGAAGAGCAGGCAGTGCTCTTAACCTCTGAGCCATCTCTCCAGCCCTTAACTTTAACATCTTTTTTTTTTTTTTTTTTTTTTGGTTTTTTTCGAGACAGGGTTTCTCTGTAGCTTTGGTTCCTGTCCTGGAACTAGCTCTTGTAGACCAGGCTGGTCTCGAACTCACAGAGATCCGCCTGCCTCTGCCTCCCGAGTGCTGGGATTAAAGGCGTGTGCCACCATCGCCCGGCTAACTTTAACATCTTAATAGCATCTAGAAATTTAAATTAAAAGATGAGACTTGATCAGGTGTGGTTGCATACACTTCTGAACTTAGTTCTCAGGAGACAGAGGCAGGAGGATCTCTGTGAGTTCCAGGACAGACAGGACTACATACAGAGTCCCTGTCTCAACAAACCAGACAGATGAGAACTAAGCACAAAACATTAAACTTAAGGATTTTCAATTAGAGTTTTCTTTTTTGAAAACATATGGTATCAACATACAAAATTGACTGTATATGGGCTGGGCTGGTTAAGAGCACTTGCTGCTCTTTCTGAGGACTGGAATTTGGTTCCTGGCACAGAAAAATGCCACTCAGAACTCAAACTGTGAGCTATTAAATTGTGCATCAAGAATTGCTGAGCCTGTAACTCTAGCTCCAACACCTTCTAGCCTCTGCCAAGTACACGCACACATGGCATAAATACATGCATCTAAATAAAAATGTAAACAAAACAAAACCACAGGCCAAAAAGATGGCTCAGCAGTTAAGAGCACTTGATGATCTTCCAATGGACTCGGGTTCAATTCTCAGCACCCACATGACATGTTACAACTGTCTGTAATTCCACACCCTCATCTGACCCCTCAAGCACTACATACATATGGTACACAGATATTCATTCCGGCAACAATCATACACATGAAATAAAAATAAAATCTCAAAATAATTACTACATATGAAATTGCTTTTAATAACGTGACTTTCAGGGGGAAATCTTATTTAACAAAAGCAAAAGTAAAAAATGTATAATGACCAGACACGGTAGCAAACACCTTGTAACCGCAGCACTAACGAAACTAAGGTAGGGTTCCTTTGAGTACAGGGCTGGCCTGGGCTACAGAGTGAGTTCAATATCCAGCCCATATTACAGAGCAAGATTGTTTCAAAAACTACAAACATAAGTAGGAGAAACTCATCATTTACCCACCAACACAGTTCCTACACTATGGATCTAACAACAACACAACATAACAGCATGTACTATGGAGAAAGATAGGTATGTTAGAATTACGTGCATCAAGAATTGTTATGGCTGGTGATGGTAAGATGGCTTACTGGGTAAAGGTGCTGGTCACCAAGCCTGAAGGCCTGAGGACCTGAATCCAATCCCTGGGACCGGACATGGTGGAAGGAGAAAATGACACTTCCAAGTTTTCTCCTGACTCCCACATGGCTAACAATGATGTGCACGCATGTGAGTGAATATGAGTGTATACACGCACACACACACAAAATGACTTTTTAATAAAAAATAATTATTAATCGTATTTTTGAGATGGGGTTTCTCTGTGTGGCCCTGGCTGTCCTGGAACTCACTCTGTAGACCAGGCTGACCTCTGTCTCCTGAGTGCTGGGATTTATGAAGCATGCCACCACCATCCCAGAAAAGCTGACTCTTGCTGGACATTAAGGATAATACCATCAGTGTTATTATTCTTATTATTAATGGAAGGTATCACTGAGAAAGGATCTCACAGAAAAGTCCATGTTAAAGAAGCTGAAAGCAAGACAAAATTTTGGGTCTCACGTAGCTCAGGCTGGTTTGCAACGATTGGGGATAACCTTGATCCTGAACCTTCTTCCTCTACCCCCAAGTGCCTCCCAAATAGTTGGACCACACACACTGTGGTCAACTTACAACCTGAAGAACATTCTTACATACCTTGCTCTCATTTTTGGTTTATATACTGTATATGAATTATATATTATGTATGTACGTATGCACGTACGTATGTATGAAGGGTCAGGTTTGACTGCTCTCATTCTACATGGTTAGCCAATATATACTATCTGGGTGAGGAGACATTCCCTCATTTCTTACACCGCATTCCTACCTAGGGATCCGTTATGGACAAATGGACACTGTCAATTATACTGGAGCAAAGCTCACGCACAGGAAGCACTGTGATCCCTTAGCAGATCCTAACAGCACTACTCAGGACTGCAGGACAGCTCCTCACTCAAAAGGAAAAGGCCGAGAGGCTGCTGTCTGTGCACTCGACTCCCCAAGAGCAGACTAAAAGTTAAACTGGAACCACAGTCTTGAGCTCCGTGCCACCAAGGTGAACCCATGCTGCTTATTTGCTTTTCCCGGAAATCAGGAGCAGCCAAGTTCCCAAACAAGCCAGGGACAACTTGCCAACATAATGACTGTCCTTCTGTATTAATCGTTATAAAGGTCATCTGAAAGAACACAATGGTAACCAATTTGCTATCTTTCTATTGTTCTGCACCTCTATTTCTGTTTTAGAAATATTAATTGTGAAATGATTATCTTGTTTTGGTTTAGCTTTCTTCAGTTGTCCACTGTCTATAAAATTAACTTCCTCTGCTGTTTTCATTGGGATGTGAATTTCATTTTTAATGGAAAGAAGTGTTGATGTACCCTCCTATCAAAGATAACGTCAGTCAAGGTGATGAAAAACCAAAGAGGACAAAAGATGTTCACAGACTCTGCTTCTGGGAAGATATGCAATGATTGGTAAGTAAATAAAAAAGATGTTCAACCTAACTAGCCATTAGGAAAACACTAACATAATGAAACTCGACTTCATCCAACTATGAGAGGGTATCAAAAATACAAAGAAAAGGTCAGCGGGACGACGCGGCTGGATAAGCTTGCTGACTTGTGTTCGATCCCTGGACACCTTTGACTCCCACACATATGGTGCGGCATATATGCATTCATGCTTACACACTAATAAGAAACACAAAATTAGCTGGCTGTGGTGACGCACACCTTTAATCTCCGCACTTGTGAGGCAGAAGCAGGTGGATCTCTGTGAGTGCAAGCACAGCAAGTTCAGGACAGCCAGGGCTATTACACAGAAAACCCTTTCTTGAAAAACAACAACAACAAAAACCCTACAAATCAAAACAAACAAAAAGAACCTCACAAAATTAAATAAAAAACAAACACAAGTATGATAATGGAAAAATTCTGAATACTTGTATCCTACTGTTGGAAAAGTAAAATGTATCTACAAAGAAGGTAGCATGGCAATTCCTTAAAAAGTTAAATTAGAATTACCACATGACCTAGCAATCCTAGTTCTACTTATATGAACTAAATCACTGAAAGCAAGGGCTGGGAAGACAGCTCGGGTGGTACAGTGCTTGCCACAAAAGCATGAGAACCTGAGGATGACCCTCAGCACCCACAGAAAAGCCAGGCACAGCAGCAGTTCACGCCTGTATCTTATCAGGAGGTGGAGACAGAAGGATCTCGGGGCTTACTGGCCGACTAGTCTAGACAAATGGGAAACAGTCCTAGTGAGGGCCCCTTCTCAAATAAGTAGACCAATGAATAAATAAAATAGAGTAAAGAAAGAAAAAAGTTTATATCCACCTGCACACCACCCTGTCACAACCTGAAAGCAAGGACTTGTGTATGTGGCAGTTTTTTCCCCCATTCAGAGACAGGGTTTCTCTGTGTAACAGCCCTGGCTGTTCTGGAACTCACTTTGTAGACCAGGCTGGCCTCAACGTCACAGATATCCGCCTGCCTCTTCCTCCTGAGTGCTGGTTTTAAAGGTGTACACCACTACTGGCCGGCTTCTGTGGAAGCTTTAATCATAATATTTGAGAGGTGGAAGCAGCTAAGTGTTCTTTTACGAATGAATAGATACAAGTTACTGAGTTCATATAGCTGAATAATATTCAGCTAAAAAAGAAAAAAAAGAAAGTTCAATACACTATAACACAGATGAACTTGAAGATATTATGTTAAGTGAGATAAAGCGGCCACAAAAAGACAAATATAGGCTGACTCAAGCCAAGCTCAAAGACGGTGCCAGGAGAACGGTTACTAGAGCCTGAGGAAATGGAAGCATGGGGAGCTAAGTGTTCATTGGAAAATCTAAAAATTTTTGGATAGGCTGGAGAGATGGCTCAGAGGTTAAGAGCACTGGCTGCTCTTCCAGAGGTCCTGAGTTCAATTCCCAGAAACTACATGGTGGCTAAGAACCATCTGTAATGGGATCTGATGTCTAGAAAGACAGAACACTCACTCATACACAGAAATAAAAAATTTTAGAGCTAGACAGCAAGTACTGGATGTGTAATATAAATATATTTAATGCCACTGAACTAACTGTGCATTGTAAAATAATTGAAACTCTCAAATGTCAGGGACCCCAAATAAAAATTCAGCTGAAGTTCCTCAGAAGACTACAGCATTCTCTACAGTACACTCTCACAGCAACACAGGTCACCTGTTCACAACCCACCTGGAATTCTTTTTCCGTAACAAACAGATTCAGCTCTATTCGTCCGTATCTGAATATAGAGTCACAGGAATACAGATCGAACAGAGTTTTCCAAAGTATTCGTCTTCCGTATTTATTAGGTAAGATTCCAAATACTTTTATAGGAACACCTGTTAGGGATACAAGCACAGATGTGCATAAGTTTCTTAAAACTTTTTCCTATGGTCACATTTTACTGATGCAAAGCAAGTTAACAATGGTAACTGTTTCAGTTAAGGATTCAAGATGGTAGATGCTATGTAGGTATGATACGCTAGAATCACCAGGGAATAACACAACAGCTGGGTGACACTGTAAGAAGAGGTGGGCAACTCCCCCCCAAATGTCTAGTTTAGAGATGAAGTAAAATGAGAAATTGTGCGGGGCTAGGGAGAGGGCTCAGAGAGAGGTTTACTGTGCAGGTATGAGAGCCTAATTCCAGTCTACCTAAACAGGTTCCAGGTTCAGTGAGAAACCTGGGGCGATGGAGGAGGACACTCAGCATCAAACTCTGGCTTCCACATGCATACACATTACATGTGCACAAACAAGAATATGTACACATACATAAAGAGGAAAAAAATGAAGAACACAAAAGTTGCTGCATTAGCTAGAGAGGAGGGAGTCTCAATTGAGAAAACGCCTTCATAAGACCAGGTTGTAGACAGGCCTATAGAGAATGTTTTTAAAATAGTGATTGATGGGGGAAGGGCCCAGTCACTGTGGGTGGTACCATTCCTGGGTTCATGGTCCTCTATAAAAAAGAAGGAACAAGTCATGAGGAGCAAGCCAGTAAGCAGCACCCCTCCATGGCCTCTGCACCCGCTCCTGCCTCCAGGCTCCTGTCCCAATTTCCTTCCACAAAGAACAGTAATGTGTAAATGTAAGCAAAACAAACCCTTTCCTCCCCAAGTTGCTTTGGTCATAAAGTTTCAGCACAACAATAAAAACCCTAACTAAGACAGCTGCCTATGGCAATGACAGGAGGAGGAGATACTAGGATGGAGTAGCAAACCCCACCATTTTCAAGATTCTAGGAGCTGGAGAGGTGGCTCAGCAGTTAAGAGCACTTAGTGCTTTTCTACAGGACTCCAAGTTGGTTCCCGGCACCCACCTTGGGTGTCTCACGGTGATCTATAATTCCAGCTCCAGTAGATCTGATGCCTTTTTCTGGCTTTTGAGGGCACCCATATGTACGTGCACATACTTACATACAAGCACATTAAATGAACAAACAAAACCCTCCTGCTGAGCTACCAGCTTAGTCCTGTCTCTAATTTGCCCCAATTTTCCCCCAGAAAGAGTCATGGAACTAGAGTGGGGGAAGAAATCTGAATTAGAGCCAGATGGTTACCTGGTTGAGAGTCTTTATGAGAACACAGACGCTTGTGTCAGGCAGCACACCCTAGACACCTGGAAGTGCAGCCCAGGAGCGGGATAAGCATTTGAAACTGGACTCCTGAAGGCGTGCCTTAGGTGTGACGTTATGTATGAGCAGACCTGTGAAGGATGCCCAGCGGAATGAGCTCTGTGACCTGATGTGGAAGGATACCCTGGACAGCGACAGGCTCCAAGTGCACGGCAATAATCAGGTGAGACTGCAGGCAGTTCCTCTATCCCCAACCAGCTTTTTCCCCTTCACGCTCATCTGTTTAATACTCAACCATGATTTAGCAGGCTAATTTTGTCCTTCTACCCTGCTCTCCACTCTTCTTTATTTCCACAGGTTTGTACAAAGCACACGGGATATAAACTGGCTTGTGGGGTCCCTGTGTCTCAGCCTCCGAACAGCTGGGACTCGTTTAATCTTTTAGGTTGTTTGATAATTTGTCTATTTTTAATATTTATTTTCATTATTTCAAAGTTATGCATAGATGTGTGTTTCTGCACACATGTTGGGTGCAGGTGCACAAGGATTCTCCTAGAGCTGTTAGTACAGACAGCTGTGAGCTGCCCACGTGAATGCTAGGAACCGAACTCTAGGCCTTAGGAGGAGCAGCAAGTGCTGTTAACCACCCATCTCTCTAGCCACTCTCCGCCACTGGATTTCTTTACCTCTACTTAGTCTAACCTTAGCTAAAATTACTTCACTGAAATCCTGCAGTTCCTATTTTTACCCTTTTATTTCCCCCTCTTCTTTTCTCAACGACTCAATACTAATCACCAATCTTTACCTTTTCCTTTTCATACATACTCACTGTGATAAATACCTTAATACAGACAGCATCAGTGTTCCTGTACTTACTAAAATGATTGGCACTTAAAAGGAATTGTGTATTTGACTCTATTATACGTTCACAGTGGGCCTACCCTTTGACAGTGATTATCTCTGCAGACACTGTTCTACTTTTAGGGGTACACTAGGGATTGCAAGTATATCCAAAGAAATCAAAAGAGGATACTAATAAATTCCTGCACAAATTCCAAGAGAACACAATGGCTTAATGAAATAAGGTTAAGTAAGGATATAAATTGAAATTCAGTAAGTAGATAGAAATACTTTAAAAAATACTTAAAATATTAAACTCAGTAAGTCAAATAAAAATCTCCATGGAAAGCCTGACTGGTAGAACAGACCATGTAAAGATGCACTGTCTGGGCTCAAGACAAAGGAGAGAAACTGGAATATTCAGAAAAATGATACAAATAAATTAACTGGAAGGTATCAACAGAACATGTGAGATCTGCAGAAACTATAAAAAGGACCAAATCTACAAATCATGTGCATAAAAGAATGATTCATGCTAAAGGCATAGAAAATATTTTAATTAAAATCATAGCAGAATCTAGGGAAAGACATGCCCATTCAATTAATAATGCATTTAGAGCACCAAACAGACCAGATCAGAGAAGAACTTTTCCACTTCATGTCAGTCAAAATGCTCAGCTGGGTGGTGGTCATGCTTTTAATCTGGGAAGCAAAGGCAGGCTGATCTCTGAGTTCAAGGACAGCCTGGTCTACGTAGTGGGTTCTAGGACAGCCAGGGCTACACAGAGAATCTCTGTCTCAAGAAACCAAAACCAAACCAAACAAACAAAAAACCCACTCACTATATAGAACAAAGAAAGCTTTTGAAAGCTGCAAGAGAGAAATGGCAGGCTGCAAGTAAATGAAGCCAGCAGAGTAACAGCAGATGTCACAACAGAAACTAAGACAGGAGGGCTTGGGATGACATTTCAGTCTCTAAAAGATGACAACTGTGAACCCAGAATATTGCACCCAACAAAGCTTTGTCAACACCAAAAGAGAAAGAAAAGCATTACATGATAAGAGCAGACTAAAGGAATCATAGCCACTAAGCCAGCCAGTCCTACAGAAGATGCTTGAAGGAATTCTTCAGACTGAAAGAGAAAGATAAAACATCTAGGAGGCGAAAGGAAAGAATAAATACACTAGAAACAGCAGTTAAGCAAAGGAGAGAAAGAAAACACCACAAGATCAATAAAATAGCAGGGATAGATACTTTTCAATAATAAAACTAAGTGTTAGTAGCCTAAATTCCCCAATCAAAAGGTATAGATCAGTAAACTGCATTTAAAAATAGGACCTAAGTCAGGTGTGGTGGGCATACCTTTAATCCCAGCATCAAGACAGAGGCAAATGGATCTTTATGAGTTTGAGGCTTAGTTCAGACCAGTCAAGGCTACATAGTGAGACCCTTTCTAAACAAGAAAGCAAGCAAGCAAACAAACAAACCAAAATGCCTCCTCAAGAAACCAAAAAGCAACAACAAAAACAGGATCTCATTATTTGTTGTTTCTAAGAACCAGACCTCAGATCAAAAACAGAGAGATGCAAACCTAGGGTGAAAGAATGGAGAAGGTGCTCCAAGCAAATGCTCCTGTTCTGACAGACAGAACAGACTTCAAACACAAACAAGTTGGAAGAGATTAAAGGTCACTTTGTACTGATTAATGGAACAATCCATTAAGAAGGCATCATAATTTATTATTAATGCATTCAAACTAACTACAATGCACAAGGCCATTTTTTTTTTCAGTCATAAAAACAAAAGTTATGAGCTGGGCAATAGTGGCACATGCCTTTAATCCCAGCACTCGGGAGGAGGAGGCAGGCTGATCTCTGTGAGTTTAAGGCCAGCCTGGTCTTCAAGACCTAGTTCCAGGGCAGCTAGGAATGTTACACAGAGAAACCCTGTCTCAAAAAAACAAAAAAATAAAACAAAAACAACATAAAAAAAAGCAAAGTCATGTCATTTGCAAGGAAATGGAAGAAACTGGAGATTATCATATTAAGCAAATTAAGCCAGCCCCAGAAGACAAATATCTTGTTTTCCTCATATGTAGTTATTAGATTTTACATAGGAACATAAAAATCATGTATACATACTATGATCTGAAAATAGAAGCAAAGCTATAAGAGAATGAAGTATAGTAGCATAACAGGTGAAAGGGGGAAATATGGGGAGGGGCTGCGGAGATGGCTCAGAGGTTCAAGCTGCTCTTGTAGGACATTAATCAATTCCTTGCACCCACATGGTGGCTGACAACTGTTTATAACTGTCTAAAATTCCAGTTCCGGGGATTCAAGCCCTTTTCTGGCTTCCATGGGCACTACATGAATATGGTGTATTAACAAACATACAGGCAGAACATGTATACATACAAAATAAATCTTTAAAAGAATTTTAAATAAAAAGGTATGTGGTGGTTTGGGAATAGCACTATTAGGAAGTATGGCCTTTTAGGAGTATGTGTGGTCTTGGAAGTGCAGAGGTGGGCTTTGAGGTCTCATATATGCTTAAGCCACACCCAGTGAGACAGTTCATTTTCTGTTGCCTTTGGATCTACATGTAGAATTTTCCAGCAGCATGTCTGCCTGAACAATGCCATAACTCCCAGCCACCATGACCCCATCATGATATGATGATAATGGACTAAATCTCTGAAACTGTGAGCTGCCACCTCAATAAATGTTTTCCTTTATAAGAGCTCCCACGGTTGTCATGGTGTCTCTCCACAGTAATACAAACCCTAAGACAAGGTGATATGAAAGGAAATTTATATGAACGACACTTATTTAAACATATATTTACAAGAAAATTATTATGTAATACAGTCTCATGTACAATGAATATATACAAATAGAGCTCAGTAACTAAGCTTCCCCCTTAGTACATAACTTATCCTGTACAGAAATAAAATGGTTATTCACAAGCAGAAAAAAGGAACGGCACGCTTAGTGTAACACCACTTGCTTATTAACTGAACAATCTAAATCTCTCTACATATTGCATGTACATCCAGTAAACAAATGAGCCACACTGGTAAAGAAATAGCTATTTATAAAGAATTAGCTTTAGTGAATGACAAAAATTACCTGCTGTCCAAGAAGCCGCTTGTATTCCCAAATCCTGAAAAATGACCTGTGAGCTGTATTTCGGTTTTATTATTTCCTGATGTCTAGGATCCATTTTAAAGAAGTCACAGTGAACCGCTTGCAGCTCTCCTTCCATATACTTCCTTAAGGACTGAAGAGACAAGGAGGGGACATTAGAAGTTCTATCATGTACACCGTGCTACAAGTCAAAGCTCTACCCCAAAAAATAAGAAAAAAAAATTCAAAAAAATAGCTGAGCACAATGGGGCATATCTGCAATCTCATCACTCAGGAAACTGAGACAGGAGAATGACAAACTCTAGAATGGCCTGGGTTACACAATAAGTTTAAGACCAGACTACATAATATAGTAAGATCTGGTCTTAAAATCTAAGGGCTGGGATGTATAAAGCTCAATGACAGAGCCTACACCAAACATGCACAAGGCCCAGAAAGGCACTACAGCACCTCAAATAAGAAATCCAATGATCCTATGTGAAGGTACAAATATTCTTAATGTACCGCGAATTTAACAGAGGACCTAAAAATCAACTGCTACAGGAAAAAACGACCAAAGGGCAACAGCTTTGAAACAAAAGTAACCTTCCCTGGGACCTGTGGAGATCAGAAGTACAGTACTTACGTAGCACGCATAAGACCCTGGATTCCACCACAAGTACATTAAAAAACAAAACCAAGCCAGGCATGGTGGCCCAGATCTTTAGCCCCAGCACTCAAAAGATATAGAGGCAGGTGGGTAAGGTGAGCCTGGTCTACACAGGGAGTTCCAGGACAGTTAGAACACACAGAGAAACCTTGTCTCAAAGAAAAAAAAAAAAAACAAAAAACCCTGAAATTTAAAAAAAAAAAAAATTTCGACAACAATTTTTCCTTTCTTTTTGTTAATTGCATTAGCTATTTATAAAGCTGTCTCCTTGTGAGGGTGTGGGAAATGAATGTTAAAACTGGGCTTCCCTAGGTAGCATTGGCTGGGCTGGAACTCACTATGTAGATGAGACTGGCCTCTTTGGGTGATTCTTCTGCCTCTGCCCCCACATAACAGGTACTTGACTTGGGAGGCAGAAGGAAAGAGGAGGTCTGTGAAACTGAGGTCAACCTGGGCTACCATAGCCTAAAAAAAAAATCTGTCCGGTCTGAAATTCCCAATGTAGGCTAGGTTAGCCTTGGAATCTAGTGCCTCTGCCACTGCGCCAGACTTGTGGGATTAAAGGCATGCCACTAAGCATAACCACACCAAAGGCCAAAAACAACTCATTACTCAAAAGTTCATTTTTTTTAAAAATTCTGTCTTTAGCTATCGTAGCTATTTCCACATTTCTTTTTTTTTTTTTGTCACACAGCACTTCATAGTCAACCAGTCATTCTCCATGCTGTCAGGAAACTGGCACAGACAGGTGATCTATCTATCACAAGGCAGGTCAGAGACTAGCTTTACAGGCAGCTCTCACACGGACAGCTAACAATCATCACAGGCTGTGGTTTGCCTGGCCAGGAGGGGGTCCTAGTTTCCGGGACTGTCCTTGGGGAATAGGAGTTCTGGTTCGATTTGAAGGGGGAAAAGAAAGAAGTAAAGAAATAGGGAGGTAGAGACACCTTCTTTCTGAAGCTACGTCTGCAGGCTTCCAACTGTCTTTTATTTCAAAATACTCAGCATGTCAATGTGTCAAACTGTGAGGTATCATTTTCTGGGCCCCAATAGGAACTAGAAAACAGATCCTAGAACATGCAAGCTCTTAGTTACTCAACAAGCGCTGAAGACACAATGGGTCCTTGTCTTTGGAGATACCAGACATGGTCCCTAAAAGTCCGTAAGAAGAAACTATGCTTAATTTCACTTCTTTAACCCACTCAAAGTTAGTGGAGAGAACAACAAATTACTTTAGGAACTACATTTAGAAAATATACCTTTAAATGTGGAATAAAAGACTTTTCACTTTCAAAGCCAACCACTCTAGCACCGGCTCTAAGTAATGCCTCAGTCAGGACTCCAGGACCTGGAATATTAACAGAAAAGTTTTATTTGCAAAATAAACATACATAGTCTCTCTCACTATGTGGACCAGGCTGGCCTCAAACTCATAGAGATGGGCCTGGCACTGCCAAACTAATGCTGAAATTAAAGGTGTGTACCATCAAGTCCATCTTAATATTTTTCCTTTTTTTGTTGTTATTTTGTTAGTTTTGTTTTATTTTGTTTTTTGAGATACGGTCTCTCTTTATGTAGCCCTGACTGTCCTGGAACTAACTATGTCGATCAGGCTGGACTTGAACTCAGAGATCAGCTTGTCTCGGCAGGGATTAAGGGTTTGTGTTACCACGCCTGGCCACAGTCTCTTCCAAAGCAGGGTTTTACACAAGTTTTAAATCTCACAACACTCCCAGATATGATTCTTTTTACACATGTAAAAAGATGATTAGGCACAACATCCCAACAGGTAAGTAGCAGAGCACCGCCGGCTGTCAGTGACAGCAAAACTTAACACTCCTCAAAAATCCCACTATTCCTTTGAAGAAAAACCAGTATATGAGATTGCGGCTTACTTCTGACTCATGGACTATCTGAATGTTTGGTCATAAAAACTACTGTCTAGTCTAAACGGAACCGACTTTCTGTAAGAAGTGGTGCTTAAAAAAGAAAAAGTACAATTCGGGGCCAATGAGAACGCTCAGAGGGCAAGGGCACCTGGCGTCCAGCCTGACAGCCTCATTTCCATCATTGAGGCCCACAATGGTGTAAGGAGAGAAGTGACTCTCGCTAGGTTTTCTGAACTAAAACACAATAAATAAACATAACTTAGAAAATTAGGGGTGTAAAGGTTAAGAGCAAACTTCTGCTCATCTCACCTGGGTTGCACTCTAGTATAAGTTGACGGGATGGTTTTTGGAACCCCAGCAGGTGTCGTGCCAGGTTCTTGGCCAATTTCTTACTTGCTACGTGACGCAAAGGCTCGGCTCGACCCTTGAATGCATAAAAGGGTGACTCCTCTACATCAGGATCAAATAACGGCTGCAGGTAGAACTCAGAGAAGCCACGACGGTTCCTCGCTTGCCAGTCCTTCCGCGTCGCAGCTCCAGACCCCAGAACGCAAGAGCGACCGGGACCAGCCAGCATTGACAGCGCCAGCCGCGGAGGCAGCCCCATCGCCGCGCCCCACATCCTCCTCTATCGTCCGCCACAACCACCAGTTAGGGCAGCTTCTGCTTAGAACAAGGAGCACGCCATCCCACGTGCAACATCACACCGCCACACCAGGCCGGGCGGAAGAAAACACTACACACGGCGCATGCGAACGCCGGAGCATCAGCCCTTTCTTCACTCGCTTCCGCTTCCGCCCAGGCTCCGCCCCCAGACGCCTGTGAGTGGACTATCCGGGTGTGTCCGAGTTGGAACTCTATGGTCGCCCCGCACTCGGCGCTGCCTCTCTAGCCTCTCGCACTCTATGCTCCTCGGTCCAGCGGCCAGCCGGGAGGGGCGCGCGGGGGGAGGCGGGGCGGGGAGGCTGGAGGTGTCCGAGCCTCCAGAGCCGCGGGAGACCAGAGGCAGCTGTGTGACAGCTCGTCGGCCGCCATGTCAGCCAGCGGGGCTGGAAACAGACCCGGCTCCCGGCGGTAGTCCTTGCGTTGCCTCGGATGCCCAGGTGAGACGAGCTGCCGGCTCGCGGCGGCCGCGGTGCTGGGGACAGTCGCTCGTTCCTCCCCGGGCGCTGTCCTCCCCGGAGTTGCAGTGGGTCCCTTCGCATCCGCCCCCTCTCGGCTCTCCCGTTTCCCCCGCTTTTCTGCGGGTACGCTGTTGTCGCGCATCGCGCCAATTTCTCCGCGCGCGCTCGCCTCCCCGGGGATCCTGCGGCTTCTACTCCGCGTCGGTGTCTCCCAGCTCGGTGGCCCGGTGCCTATGCTCGCTTTCCTCCGGGTGTTTTTTATTTGCCCCCATACCTTGTTTCCCCACCACCGCCACCCCTTCGGTCGCTAGGAACCGCCTAGTTGTCTCCCTTCTTGTCCTCTCTTTGGACCAAGATTTACCTTTTCTTTTTAATATGCATGTTTGCAAGACTTAAATTTAAGGCTGAACAAAAAATAAGATTCGAAAGCTTAAAATTCTGTCCTACGTTTCAAAGGATTAAAGCCTTAGGGAGCGTCTTTATTCGTCTGTGTAAACTTAGTTAAGCACATTGTACTGTAGAATGCAATTTAAAAGGCCGATTGCAAAGACTAAAAATAGGATGCTCTAATGGGAATTTTGGCAGTCTTTGGGGCAGTGTTAAAAGATCCGATTCTTTGAGAGTGATTTCAGTGTTTGGGGCTCGGACTCGGAGCTTTACCCATTATCCTTTCCAGCAAGGCAGGAAGCTGCGGCCAATCAACTCCCTAGTTTAAAATATGTACAATCCTTTCTGCTTACTCTGTGGCAGCATCATTGAGCTTGGCATTTAAATGCACAAGGAAAGAGTTACTGAGGAATGTGTCACCTGCCAAGTAGCCCGAAGATTATCCTTAGCTGATGAAACTCAAGGACATAAAGAATTGACACCTGAAGATGGCCTTTTTTGAATAAGTTAGTACACTGTAAGGAGCTATTAACTGTAGTGGAAATCCCGAGGATTCATTCACTAATGTTAATTTTGCTAAGTTTGTTTGTTTGTTTAATATAGCCAGGCATGGTGATATAAGTTTCTAATCCTAGCGTTAAGGAGGCTGAGGCTCCACGAATTTAAGGACCACCTGAGATGTGTTCTGGTTTCAATGTTAGCTTAGGATACAGTCAGACCATATCTCAGGAAAGGAGAAAAAGAAAGATGATCACCCCCCCCCAACTGAGCATTTTCATAAACTCAGAAGTAGTCTAGTAACCCTCCCAAAGCAATATTTAACAATTGAATATAGCAAAATGATTTTTAAAGGTCTACTTATTTATTATGTATACAGTGTTCTGCCTGCAGGCCAGAAGAGGGCACCAGATCTCATTATAGATGGTTGTGAGCCACACTATGGTTGCTGGGAATTGAACTCAGGACCTCTGGAAGAGCAGTCAGTGCTCTTAACCTCTGAGCCATCTCTCCAGCCCCAGGGAAATGTTTTTTTTTTTATATGAGATTAAGGACAAAATTCACTTACCAAATTTATCCTTGAGTTTTTCTGCGTTTAAAATAACCAAGGATATATAGTGTAGCTCAGTGGTAGATCAATTGCTTAGCATGTTTTAGGCCCTGAATTCCGTACCTGACACCACAAAAGGTAAATATACTTAAAAAAATGTACATTTTTGAAAATCTCATAATTTTGGACCACAGCCTAATCAGTCCTAGAGAATGTAGGGCAGTGTTTATTTTGCTTTTGAACAGTTGATGGAAGAGAAGTTATTTTTATTTACCTTTTCCTCTTCTCTTCTTTGTTAGGGGTCAAACCCTGGGCCTAGCACAAGCTAGGCAAATGATCTGCCTCCAAGCTACCTCCCTAGTACCTTGTTTTTGTTTGTGTATGTGGTATACGTGTTTGTGTGTCCATGCGTGTGTGATGTCAGATGACTTCCTCAGTTGCTGTCCACTTTACATTCCTGAGACATGTTCTGTCCCTGAACCTCTTTCCCTAAGACCCTCTGTTAGGCTGGCTGGGCAGAGAGCTCCAACAATCTGCCCTCCTCCATCTCGTAAACACTGAGATTATAGATTTGTATCTTTGGGGATCAAGAAACAGGTTTTCATGCTTGCAAATACTTTGCTGATTAAGCCCTCACCCTTGGTTTTTTGAAAGATTGACTGTGGTTTAAGCTGGTCTTAAATTCATCATCCTCCTGCCTGGCATGTGTCACGTGCTCAGTTGTTTCCATTTTCATGGTGTTAATGGTTTACTTGTTTGTGTTTGCAAGTGCTTCACTAATATAGAAACCAGCCCCATCCCTGGGACCCAGATACTAAAAACGAAACAGTCATTTCACTTTTAAAATGATTTTGGGGGGTTGGGGGTTTGAGGCAGGGCCTCTCTGTGTAGCATTGGCTGTCCTGGGCTCTATAGACCAGTATGACCTCAAACTCAGAGATCTGCCTGTGAGTGCTCAGATTAAAGACTCTCACCACCATCGCCCAGCTTAAAATGAATCTTATACTCAACATTTAGACTTTCATTTTTAGACAAACTTAGCTAAGGAATTTGTAGTCACATTCTTGACAGTTGCAGGTTTTGTATCCTGTGCTATTTTTGCCCCCCTTGAAGTAATTTTTTTTTCTAATAGTGCTTTCTCGTTACTTTGTGGCTGTCTTTAAATTGTTTTTCTTATTAAGTTACCATAATCAAATTGCTTGAGAAAGGAAACTACTGGTTTTTTGCTTGGAACTTTTAAATGAGAACTGAAATTGGGAAATGCTGAATGACAGTTCTGGTTTGTGTCGGAATCAAGGTTGGAGCTGCACCATTCAAAAGAAATGGGAGATTTTTTTTTTTTTTTTTTTTTTTTTTTGATTTTCGAGACAGGGTTTCTCCGGGAGATAATTTTAAAACGTTTCTAGCAGTCCCGCTTACCAGGTGAATAGCCTTAGTGGCTTTAGTCCTCTGCGTGTCATAGCTGCCAAGACTCCCTGCTAGATCTGCAGTTCTGATGTGGTCGCCCTCATAGCCCATCTCGATTGAGACTGACCCCGGTGCAAATGGCCAGGAGTCACCTGTAGCCGATACTGCCCTCCCTCTTTGGTTGGCACATAGCCATAAGTTTGGTGTTTGCTGCTTAAAATGCCTTTCTACCCTGGGAGTCTGAGTCTTTCGGGATTCATAGAAAGGCCCTTATTTATTTATTTATTTATTTATTTACTTATTCTCTTTCTAAGTGCTTTCATTCTTAAATTGAGAAGGTTCTGCGCTGACCCTGAACTCTTGCTTCTCTAGTGAGCATTGGTGTCCAGGACTTGTTTGGGGAGTATCCTCAGATGAATAGAGTGCTCAGTCATTTCCTGGAGTGTCATTGTGACAGGTCTTTCTATCCATATGTCAACAGTGTGTCAGGGCTGTATGAGTCTTTGCCTACTAAATCTCTTGGCATTGAGTAGGGAGAACGTGGGGTCTCATGAGACGCTTGACCTTTGTCGCGAAACAGGTAGGGTACCTGCTGTTTGTTGTTGTGTTATTTCCTGGACTGCTTTCAAGTATGGCTAATGGTTTGGGAGATGTGGTTCTCTGTAGCCTGGTGTTTCTTATCAAGGGCAAGGTAATTTTTCAGGCAAAATTTAGAAGGAAAGAGGGTATGGTATTTTGGCTTTGGAATGGGGGTAATGTGAGTTTATGTTTGTTAAAGGGAAATGTGGCTTCATATAAAGCTGCTGGTGCATCATCTAGGTGCCTACAGGAGCTGCTTTGCAGCAGGTGCGTTAATTCAAGTGAAACCAACCATGGTTTAGAGCTGAAGTCATCAGGCTCAGAGCTGACCTCTGTGGGGATCCTGTCTTGGTCAGGTCTTGACTACCTTGTTCCAATACATTTCCTAATTAAGACTCCTTATAACTTAATGCAAGAAACATATATGAGCAGGGCGGTGGTGATGCACACCTTTAATCCCAACACTCAGGAGGCAGAAGCAGGCAGATCTCTGTGAGTTCGAGGCCAGCCTGGTCTATGGAGTGAATTCCAGGACAGCCAAGGCTACACAGAGAAACCCTGTCTCGAAAGACCAAAAAGAAAAAAAAAAACTGCTTCCCTGATCAATAAACAGACTTTCTATCTAAAATCCAGTCTTTATAGACCAGCTCACTGTAAGGCAGCCTGTGGAAAGTTTACAGGAGAAAATACAGAATTGGAAAAAGTTTTTCGTGAAAGAGGTGCACACATTCTGATAGTGTTTTCATTTGCATTTGAAAATAGAAATTGATTGTTTATTGGTGTCTATTGGTTTGATAAAAAAGAATACAATATAGAACCACAAAGAGAAAATTGATATAGGCAAAAGGATACAAAGTATCGAATCTGCAGGGCGACCCGGTAGACTGAGCTAGTGCACAGCATAAGAGTGGCAGGGCGGAATAGTGTAAGCCTTGTGCTGAGTGAGTACATTGTAGCCATGCCTGGGTGCATGGGGATACTGATATGATGATTGTGTTTATTTGTTGCATTCTAATAACCACTAATACCACGTATCTTATGTAATACATATGTATCTTATACAATCATACTATACAGCTAAAATATACAATGTAATAAAGCTTGTTTTTTTTTAGGCAGGAGGATGGTAAGTTGGAAGTCTGCCTGAGCAAATTAGGCAACATAAGGAGAACCTGTCTCTAAAATCTAACCAAAAATCTAAAAGAAGAAAATTAAAAACAAAAAAAAATATTTTTTTTCTT